AAGGAGAGGGAGCTTGGTGAGTTGAAAAACCTAGTCTAGTCTAAGAAAATGCAAAAACCAGTGGCCAGCACATAAAATGTACAGTTCTTGCCACAGGTGGTGTCCCCTGGACCTTTATTGGTAAGTGGCCTCATGGAGAAGAGGGAGCTTAGTGAGAAAATTGGCCAAATAGGGTAATGATAAAATAGTACACACAGGAAAAATATTCAATATCAAAAATTAAGAGATAGCTTTGAAAAACATTTTCAAAGACTTCATATACTTTGCACAATGGTCTTTTAGTCTGTAGTGTGCAAGCGTAAAGACAAATGCTCCCAATGGTGCCAAAGTACATATCAGCTTGTTACTCACTCTTAGTGTTCAAATGTAGTTGTTTGCTACCTTTACAAACCTAAATTTTGTGAAGCATGACATAAATGTATTTTTCACAATTTTCAATTTAATTTTCACTACAAAATCTCTATCAAACCAGTGATAGTGAAATTTCAGTTCTGAAAATGAAAATTACTTTGTAGCATTATTTTTCCAGAATTAATCAAGTCATCTAAACAGCAAATGTTATGAGAGGTTGTGTCTGAGTGGTAGGATTATGCGTGGCTTTCATTATCTTCTTTGCCCTTTCCTCAATTTTTCTCCATAAACCCTATATTTAGGAAAATAAATTTATATGAATAAATAAGCATGCAAGCAAACATTTTAATTTCCATGCTAAAGAGATTTAAATCAATCTGATCTAAGCACCAGCAGCTGCTGTCTCCCTGCTGTCTTCTCTCAGAGCAGACCTCCTCATCAAAGTTTGGGTTTCATCCAACTAACCCTTTGCAAAAACCTTCCGTGCTCCTAAGCCTGGTGTGGTGTTGGAGGGTGCCTGTCATGAGGGGTGTCATGAAGCAGAGCATGGAATGACACCATAGCTGGGGTGCACTTGGTATTCCTTCTTCTCCATTAGTAGATTTCCAAGGTTGGGAAGGACACACCCTAGGATAAGTGGGACCCTAGGTAATAACATCTGAGGAGAACTATTTACATGAACAAGTTAAACCATCTCAAGTCCCTCTCAAGACTACTTTCCTAGAAAATTCCCAGGAAACCCCCAAGATTTCCTTCTTCCTCCTGGGGCATCTGCAGGGGGCAGGTTCTTCAATGACAGGCAGAAGGTTTGGAAGTTCTCTGAAGGGGAGAGATGTGAATGGGCACCTGGGATGGCAATGTCCTGTCAGAGATGAGGTTGCCCCACCAGGACAGCTGCCAGCTAGCCTTGCCAATCCTATGCACAAAAGAAGAACTTTAATATTTCTGAGAAAGTGCCTAGGGTGACTTTTTGCTATCTGTCTTTTTCTCTTCATCTTTCTTTCTTGTCCTCTGCCCACCATGGGAGACCCAAGACTTAGCACACTTGACAAAGAAAGTCATCCATCACCTGTCCCAGGCCTTCTTTATGGCCAGAAATCAGGAAATCTATGTCTGTACACATAGCTCAGGTGTTTTGAGTCACTTTTCCTTAGTGCAAGGCAGACAGTCATAGCTCCCTTCTACATTGTTGGAGAGTTGGCTCATAACATCCTGCTGGTATGGCTTGGGTCTCAAATATGCTCCACCCATTTCAGCACATTTTCATCACTGCAAAAGGAACCCCCATCCCTCCAGGCCATTGGTATCAAGCCCTTCCTCAGCCCCAGATAATGACTAATATTTCTGTCTTTATGTGGCAGCTTCTTTCAGGCACTTCACAATTGGAATACCATTATGAAAGTTTGTGGCTAGCTTCTTTCATAAAACACAACGCTTGCAAGATTCACCCATGTTAAAGCATCTATCAATACTTTATTCTATTTTGTGTGGTAAATAAATGATGTAAAACTCACCACTTTAAATATTTTGAATTATACAAGTCAGGGACAGTACGTACACTTGGTGTAGTGGAGCCATAATCACTACTTAGTCCTGAGTATCTTCATCACCCATAAAGGAAACCCTAACCCGTTATACACCCACCCTTATCTCATCTCTGCCCTTCTGGCCCCTGGAAACCACTAACAGGCTTTCTTGTCTGTACAGATTTTCTGACGTGGATATGCTATGTAAATGGTATCAAACATTATTTGTCTTTCTGTGTTTGGCTTCCTTTCACTAGCATGTCTTTGGTGTTTATCCATGCTGTAGCAAGTAACAATACTTTGGTCCCTTTTTCTGCTTAATTTTGTCCCCTGTATAAATAAACACATTTTTCTAGCCATCAGTTGAATTTTATTTTTCTAGCCATCAGTTGAAGAATATGTGTGGTGTTGACCATTTTTAGGTTTAAAGACTCTTTTATATTCTTTTGTAAGATGGCCAGTTGGATATGTCCATGAGAGGGGTACAGGAAAGTGAAACTGACATCTAGAAAGACAATCAAGGCAGCCATGGGGAGGAAGCCACATGGGGACAGTCAGGGAGCAGGTGCAACCACGCAAGAGGGAACAGGGTGAGCAGGATTGGTGAGGTCAAGGTGAAGACACAAGCAAAAGGCATGTGGGACTCCACTGGTGTGTCTGAATTCACTAATGCTAAAGAAAAAGTATTCAGGGACACCTATTAAAGCACAGTAAGCCAGATTTTATTCAGAATAATCTCTACAGGTAAAGGGACCATGGCAATGGGGTTCTGCTCTGGAGAAGAGATTTGACTGAACTCTGAATATAGCACGTGGGAATTTATAGCCAAGAACAAGATGCGGTCAGTGGATGGAAAATTGCTATCAGAAAACATCAGGGGTGGAGGATTCTGACTCAGTGGACTGATAGGCTTCTTGCTGAACACAAGCTTAGGCAATCCAATATCACTTGCTGTTGAGGACAGAGAGCCCTCTCAGATACCAACGGTAATCAGATACTGAGGGCTGTGGGGTTCTTACTAAACTGACTTTGCTGAAACTGGATTTATAAGGAAGTGCAGATATGCGCCTAAGAAAAGGCTCAGAACCCTCACCAAAGTTTGAAGCAAAGAATCTTTGTCACAGTTGGGAAAAAGCAGTAGGGAAATTGTATCAGGAGATGCCTAGTCACTGGTGCACCCTTTTGGCCTCATAATGGGGTCACAACCTGCTTCGGAGATGTCAAGGCAACAGGAAATATGTAATATAAAAATATACACTAGATCCCATATTGTTCTAACTCAGGCACACACCAATTTTAATTACAGTACCCCTATGACAAGGGAGGCTGAGCTCCTGGGCCAGACAGATGGCTGTACCTGGCTATCAAAAGGTAAAGGAAAGGCCAACTCCTTGCACATAGGGTGGTGCTGGGGCTGGCTCCAAGCCCAGCTTCTGAGATGGCTGCATTTCTCCATGAAAGGCCTCCTGTACCTCAGGTTTCCTAGGTGCCTGAGTCTGGGTGTCTGGATGTCTTATTGGGGGCCCTAGTCTGGATGCCCAAGTGAACCCTTCTGGGGAGCACTTTGCAGAGGAGCTTCCCCTGACCCAACAGTGGTGTGGAGACAGCTATGCAGCCAGACACTGTCTCCAGACCCCAAGGTTCAGTGCCTGGGTTATTCTGACCAATTAAGTCACTGAGGTGGGACAGGGACAGCTCCTACGTGGTTGGGCATCAGCCATAGTAAACCAGATTTCGTGTACAGTGGAGGCATAAAAACTGGGAGAGTTGGGGAAACTCCCTCCAACTGCTGGGAGAAATGCCTGCACCAAGAGCTGCTGCCGTGACAGCCACCGATTAGCTCAGCTGCACCTCCGATGGGCAGGTTTACTGAGTACTCAGAGCTCTAAGGTTGTTGTCTGCCACACTATGTGCGCCTACGGTATCACTTTTGGTAGGGACCTTACATCTACAGCCGTGTTAGGCCTGTGTGTCAGTGGGACAGGACCGAAGCAAAAGCTAGGCCTTCTCCACCCTACACGTTCCTGCGGAGGCCAGGGGCAGAGTGATTGCGCCAGCAGATGCAGGGCTTGGTACTACTGTGATCTCCATCGCGTCACTTTTCACATTACAATCGTGTGCCTTGCTTGAGTCTTAGACAACTACACACATTATGCTGTGCCGCCTTTCTTGCCTCCCTGGAAGGCAAAAACTTTTTAACCTATTTCCTCATGATCCACCACCAATGTTGGTTAAATGGAAGAAAATTGAAATGACGTTCCCTCGAAGAGAAATCATAACATTGCTTTGGTTCTAAAAGCACTAAGAGTAAAGAAAGCTCATAAAGACTATGAAGTAAATACATCATTATTATATAAATACAAAGATCTTTGCTTGTGTATTTTTCTGATACGCTGTTCCTGGCTGATTATATTAATAGAGAAGGGATACTTCTGGTCCATAAAATATTTAGATGATTAAGTACGCTTTCATATGTCCTCGTTACCAATGATTCTCATTTATTCAAAACGAAGGGACTGAAAAACTCTCTCCCTCTCTCTCTTTCTCTCTCTCTCTGAGAAAGGCCTGTGGCTCCTCCTCCTAGATCCCCCTCCCGACCATGCTGAATAGGAGGGACCGTGTCCCCGCCGGAGACCATCCGTGCGGTGTTCAAATTCCTGTCTTTGGAAGAG